ATAAAGGAGATGCACCAGAGTGTGTAAATTATATAGGAATTAAGTTAACGTGTCATACTTTAAAATTATGAGAAAAAGTAACAGAACATAGGTAAAGACATGATATAAAAATTTCTCATAGTCAGTTTGAATTTATGCTGGGCAAGTTTACTATGAAAGCTATATATTTATTCAGAAGTTTGATGGAGAACTACAGAGAGAATAAGGAGAATCTACATATGATTTTTATTAATTTAGAAAATAATTACGATAGAGTTTTAAGAAATGTCCTTTGGAGAGTTTTAGAGAAGAAAGGTGTTAATATTACTTATATTCAAGTCATTAAGGATATGTATACTAGAGTTGTTACTTGTGTTCGAACCAAAGGAGGATTGACTATATATTTTCCTATTTCAGTTGATTTACATCTAGGATCAGCTTTAAGCCCATATCTTTTTGCTTTAGTTATGGATGATCTTACTGGACATTTGTACCTTGTTGTGTGCTTTTCACCGATGATATCCTTCTTGTGGATAAGACCAGACAAAGAGTTTAGGAAAAACTTGAATTATGGAGGTCTACATCGGAGTCAAAAGGCCTTCGTTTGATTAGATCTAAAATTGAATACATGGAATAAAATTTTAGTAGTAGTAGTTATAGTGACAGAGTTATAACTATGGGTGATCAAATCATAAAAAACGTGTGAACGTTTTCGATATCTTGAGTCTATTGTTCAAAGTGATGGTGATATAAATGGGGATGTTATTAGTAGAATTCAAGTTGGTTGGTTGAAGTTGAGGAATGCATCAGGCCTATTGTGTGATTGGAAAAGTACTGCTTCGACTGAAAGGAAAATTTTATAAGGCGGTGAGACCTACAATGCTCTATGGCTCAAGATGTTGGCCTTTAAAAAAGAAGCATAATACAAAGTTAAGTGTGTTGAGATGAGAATGCTAGGTGGATGAGTGGCTTGACACTTTGAGACAAAATGAGCAATGGATATATCTGTGATAAGTGTAGCTCCAGTGGAGGACAAAATTAAAGAGTCATCTTAGATGATTTGGTCACACTAAACGTCAACCATCTGATGATCCTATTAAGAGAGTAGCTGTTTTATATTCGACTTATATTAAAAGGGCAGAGGTGGACCTAAAAAGACTTGGGATCTTAATCTATTCAAATTAAATAAAAATACGATGCTCAATAGGATGCATTACATCTATCTCAAAATATCTTCAAAACATAATCTAGCATATCCCTGGCTGATATTTTCCAGTCAGCACAGTGGTTCATGATCTAAATTACACGATTATGATGAGTGGGAAGAGTGTCTATTCACCCCCAACTGATATTCTCTCGTGGACAAAACGATTAGCAGTCTACATATAATAATTTTCTATGGATGTAGGATAACAACTATGCACGTGGGTATATTAGCGTCCTCTATCCACAACATAGAAGAGTGAACTCCTCCTCTTAGCATGTACACACAAACTTTCATGTATACACTATTTTATTATTCATAATGTACATTCTTCTCTTATGAGACAATTTACATTTATCTACTAATGAATAAATACACTTTTACTAAATCTGTAAGTCATGAAATAAATTGATATTTGAACCATCTTAGAATTTACATGTCATGTAATAATCGATATATGCACATTTACTATAATTTAAATGTTATTCAATAATCTAATAATTCTATAAAAAATTTATTGTGCAATTATTTAATATGCATAATTTCTTATCTAACAATATGAAAAATCTGTTATAAGTTAAATCTCACTATAACAGAGTATAAATAAAATCAAGCATACATTTAGAAATAATAAAAATTACTGAAATGAAGAAATATAATTATTCAACTGCCTTGCATGAAATGAAATATTCCAATTTTTTTCATCTTAAAATCAATTAATCTTAAATCTTGATTCTTGGTCATCATTGATATGATCTTTAACAATAATATTATACTAAACATCAAATTTAAAATTAATTAAATTTAAAACTTCGATTTTAATTACCTTAAATATTTTCCCCCACTACTGTCTTCTGTCCTCGTTTCAAATGGCGACAATCCGGTCCGAGGTTGAAATTAACCAAAACGGGTACAGACGGTCAGATCGTAAAAATTAAATTATTCTTAACTAATATTTTAATATATGAAAAAGCCACTAAACAAATGAATTGAAGTAAGAAAGTTAACTTTATCTCTTCCTGATTGTCTGCATCTTCTATAAACATGTTATCTTTTATTGCTCATCTATTAATAATTTAATTTAACTTAAAAATTTAGTTTAAAACAACAGTAATTTAACTAAAGCAAATGATACTCACACTACTAGGTTACAATAACATAATGAAAGGAAATCAATACGTGAGTCAGTTAAACATTTAATAAATCAATATAAAACATTTGATAGTTTATAAATAAGATTACTCACTATATTGCATAATATTTAAGGTATTTTACTATATTAATAGCATATCGATATTAATTATATTTGTACAACCTTCATAGAAGCACCGTTTAAAAATTTTACGAGTTATGATACTTCAATATCAATAACTTTTTCCATTTACGTGCACATGTACTCTAACGTTTTCTAGCTACTACCATAAGAGAGATGAACACCATCATAGTCAATCATGCACATGCAAACATATATATAGTCAAAATCATTCATATGCTTATCCTATAACATATAATATAACATATGTATCCTTAAATAACATGTTATGATTTTTACTATATGGAGACCTAACATTCACCAATAAAAAGAAGAGTATGTAAATTAGGATAAAATGATACATGAATTTATAGATATCAATAACTATTAATGCAATTGATTGAGAAAAAATAAAATACTACTATAAACCTTTAAGTATGAATACCAACTTTAAATTCACTCTATGAAACGATTTCTTACAAATTCTTAAACTTTCTCTTTCACAATATAAAATTCTAACATTAATATGTAACAGCTTATAATTAAATTGACTAAAAAAAATTACTAAATTGAAGGTATTCTTAACTTCGTATCTCTTCTTCTTCCTCTATCTCACTCTCTCTGACTCTCTCACAGTTTCCTATCTCTCTCTCGTTCTCCCTATCTCTCTCGACTCCTCTGTTGAGTTCGAATGGGAGAGAAAAAGTGAGGATAGAACTTATACTCTCAGAAGCAGTGGGTGAAATGATCGAACAATGCCTATGAAATGACACTTGTTTCGCAAGCATCGTAACAGTTTCATTTTCATTTTTTGTAACTTCTTGAAAATAAAGATTGTTATTACAATCTCCTATCCTTATAAAAATTTTGTTCTCAAAATTTAAAGTATAAGAATATACTTCATGCCTCAATTGTACAGTTGTGAATATATTTTTCTTATTTTTTATTACTTCTCCCATGTGACATCTTTTTCAGTTTCATGTTTCCATAATAAACAAAAAAAAATAAATCTCTCTATTCCTTGGATGTTTCATATCATAATCTTTTATTCTTTTCAGCTCATCCACAAATGTCAAAACATGTTGAATATCTATTGAACCTATGAAAAACTTACTAACCTCATCAGCAATATACTCCTGAAGTAAAAAGATATGAAAGATATTATGTATCCCATACATGTGTGCTGATAGTGCAAGCCTGTAAGCCACTTTCCAAATCTTCTCTATGATTTCATATGGACCAACATACCGCATTGGCTTATTCCAAGTTCCAAGCAGGGTCGTGACAAAAAACAAATATCAATTCTTCTCTACCTTCTAATTTATAGTATTAATTCATAAAATGATAATCATTGCGATTCAAATAATTATGTTGAATTCCAAAATAAGAAATAAACTCTAACCTTCACAACTTCAAAACTCCTCGACCAATAATCTGAAATTTGCCCCAACTTGATTTTTTAACATTAATTAACATGAATCTAATTTAATACTTAACTATTTCATTAATTTAAATAAATCCTAAAATGAAAAAATTAATTAATTAATTAAAGTTAAGCATTATGCTCAACTTAAAGATCACGACAGCTACCCTTCTCACGCACGCAAGTGAGTCCCCTCCTCTTTTGCCCGAGCCCACGCAGATCACACGCAATCCCTCCCTTTCTCTTATGCTCACACCCTCACAAGATGTGCGATGCATCCTCCTTCACTTGAGCAAAACCTTCCCTTCTTCCTCGCCAGTTCGGTTAGGGCATGAGCAGCTTGATGCTTCTCTTCTTCGCATGCTAGGGCTCGAGAGCTTCTTCTCGAAAATCAATGATCTTCTGCAAGTCGTGGCATCGTCTCCCCCTCCTTATCTACTCTTACACGCGCAAGTTAGGGTTAACACCGTCTCTTCTACGGCTTCGCCGCTTCCTTCCTCAAGCCAACCGTAAGAACGGTGAATCCTTGCCTCCTCTTCCTTCACGCATGCAAAGTGACTTGCGCTAGATGCAGGAGAGTCTTCTTTTCTTCTTCCTTTTTGAGTCTCGCTAGTCACCTACAGGCAACGAAAACTAGACATGAGAGCACTCCCCTCTGCGACCCTTCTTGCTCTCTCGTTCACTCTGTTTCTTGTAATTTCCCCCTTCACCAATTCAACGAGCGTAACTTAATCTCTCTCTTACAAAATGATTGAAATGATTGGTCGAACCGACACTAAACCCATTAAAATTTATTTTCTTATGTTTCATTTTATTTTATTTATATTTCAGTTATTACAAAAATACTACACAGCAACTGACTCTCAAATCGTAAATCAGCAAGAGGCATCATAAACTAGCATGTCTCTTATAACATGCAGATTTTAAGTAAAATGACAGATAACTAGATGAAGAGATTAAGGCTAAATGATCAAAACATCAAGCCGAAATAGGGTCATAGCAAGTGATTGTAGACCTAGATTGCATAAGAACTCATTTTTTAAGAAAATTGAAGTCAATTACTTCAAAATAAAAGTAAAGGTCAACGCTTACAGCTTCTACTAACAAGTTTAAAGCAAGCTCATGAAAAGAAAAATACGTGCCTTCCACTCTTGAAATATTCCAAATTGGCGTGCAATTCTCTCGAACTCAGACTGATCACTGTATCTGATCCTGACATCTCCATCTATGTTAGAAGCCTGTTGGATGACATCTGCTCCATAAAGGGGTTTTGCATCTGCAACTATTTTTGCAAAGTGCTTCGAGAAATTTCCCTGCCATCCATCATAGTAGTGCAAATTCAGCTATTACATCATAGGCACCGGCAAGACACTTGGAAAAATGGAAATACCTCCTTTAGATAACCGAGATCCATTTCCTTCCAGTTAATCTATTTCCAATAATCACAGGAAAGTATAAGATCTTTGATAAAAAAAGTCGGGGCAAGACAGAAAATAGATACTTCTTGAACATACACGGGCATCATTTAATTTGATAGGCTCCAAATATTGCTTGAAAAACAGCCCCATGCTAGAACCCTGAAAAGAAGCCACATATAAAGGCCATATTTTTTAAACAAAGATATGAATAAAGCGGATACATACATGTTCACCGAAATTAAATGTTCTACAGATCTCCGGGCGAATAAATTGGCGATTCTTACGTACAACCTTTAGTCTTAACCAGTCATCCCAATAAGTGTGTCATGTCAAGGAAGATTTCCAGAAAAATACCATGCAATCATAAATTACAAACTAAGTAGTTGAGGATATGCTTTAGGCCACTTAGGCGACAGTTCAACCCAGGTAGATTTTGTCAGCATCCATCCCAGTCCAGGAAAGAAATCAGAACGGTAAAGGGCCTCTGCAGATAAATGATATCTTCAATAAGACAAATAGATTTCCTTAACAAAAACGCTTCTAGCAAATCAGAGCTCACCAGCATCAAGAACAAACTGTCGTTGACCATTATCATTCCATGAAGAAACAGCCATGACGCTCCTTCAAAAGTAAATTATTGCATGATTAACCAGTGATTTTATAGTTAGTTGTAGCTGTAATAAATATTCCATTAGATATGTCACTTTTGGGCATACTTATCATTGTCAAGTAGAGTCGCTGTGGCCTCAAAATAATCAAAAAAATCTGGCGCAATCTCCATGTCATCTGTCAAGAAACAAAAAGCTCAGTTATAATTTAAAAGGCTGTGCATAAACCGAACAAGAACAACAAGCTTATAAAGCCAATGATACCTTCCAATATAATTACACGACTGAAATTCTTTTTGAAAAAAAGCTCGTCCAAGGCCCACTTATAATGCCCTGGGAAGTGTAAGTCCTCTTAGTCCAAGACAAATCGTTTGAATGATAAAAAAGATGGGGGGGGGGGGGGGGGGGTTTAAACCCCCTATGGATGGCTATGGATGAGCAATAGTACATATATCTTATCTTCCCTCAGAAATTACACTAAACACTGATTTCTAAAGATCTCATTTAATGGATTGGGGTTAATATGCGATTTAATATCTAGTGTACTCTTTAGAAAGAAAGATTACAATTAACAGATAATGTAATATCTAAAGACATGAGATATAAGTGTAATTTAAAAAAATACAAGGGAGATATGTATGGTACTAATTATTTACAGAAGAGATAAGCATAGTGAACCCTAGCAAGATACCTACTTGAAATCTTGTAGTATGCAACTATTTCACCAGGCCTCTCAGGATGCACAGGCTGAAGATTCAAGTGCTGCAATAGAGCTATAATGATGATAACATTGCTGGCTAATACATTTCAATCGCTCAGAAAATTATCAAAAAATGAGTAGACAAGTGAATCATTGAAAAACTAGATAGAAGTAGAAGTTGCATAATTGGTCACTTGGCGACTTACTAGGTTTCTTTCAACATTTATGTGTTCATCATTTGCATATTTTTCTTTTGGCAGATTTTTCCACATAATGATCAAAAGCATGAGACAGAGCCAACATCAAAGTATCTTTTAATAGAACAAGTCGTTAAAGCAACTGATTTTTTTAAACAAATAAAGTTGAGTAATATAAAGTTCTTTTTTTTTGTGGCAAGAAATGGACTGTTGATCTTTTGCAAAAAAAACCTTTTTCTATATGCCAAAAAAAACGCAATTTGTGAACTAAGTGTTTTTTAGTCAAACTTAGAACTTCGTAAGTAGAATTTAGAATACATTCTGCATTCTGAGCCCTAGCAAGTAGTGAAACTTCAAAGAAGATAGCCTAGATGAATTCAATTCTGTGTATTGTGCTCAGGTTTATCAAAATGTATTGACGTGATAGTTAAGATAAGAAAGGTACAAGTTAAAAACCAATGTAGGCCTTGCCCTCGGTTTAACACATTACACAAATGAATAACACAATAGGATAGCCTTCAACTATTCTGGTGTTGAAACTTATCTAACCCCATCTTATCATCATTATTAGTCTTATCCAAATCATTTGGGCTAGCAATGCTGAGCTCAAAAATTAAATTCAGGCTTGGTTAAATTAACATCAAATAATGCATTGAATTAAAATGATAAGTATTTATCAAGGACGGCAGAGATCTAGCCAACATTAAAAAAGTCTTCAGTAAAGAGAGGCCTGATCACCTTGTACAACTGAAGCGAGTAAAAATATTGCAAAGTTTATCGCTAGAGTATGCATACTTGAAATCAGATCCATGAAAAGAAAAATAGTTCTTCTAGTTTAGCAGCAACAATTAGATCTCAGACCTGAATATGTCTTATTTGGTTGTAACTCAAAGCTTTCCTTTTTACATCTGGATTTGTTCCATCCTGGAAATAGGGAAATTCACTTCATTGAAGTAAAATATTAGCATAACACTTTAAAACAAGGCGTGTGTACCTGAGACACAAAAATGGGAAATTTTGAAGCCACTGAACTCCTATGTCTAGAAAAGATGAACGTTAATATAGTTGTTAGCTATGAGAGCTCTACTTAAATAAAGGATATTTATTTTTTAACAAAGAAAAAAGAAAGATCTAAGAATATAATTAATGTAAAGAATGAACATACTTCAGGACAGATTCAATTGTTCTTTCAAGATACTCGGGGCGGTTGCAAGCCATTATTACAACAGCTGCTAAGGGTTCCTAGACATAAAGCAGCAGTGCAAATTTTCAGAAATAGACAAATAGTAATTGCTCAAATAATAGGTCAAAAAAAAAAAAAAAAAAAGAAAAAATAGGGGTTGAGGAGCAAGAAGGACAAATAGAGATTGAGTAGCAGACTACATTCTCCACATAATTAGCTTGTCTTGCCACTTTCAAATACAAGGCCAAGATTATTGATATTAATACTAACCTATGAATAATTTTGTGATCTAATTTGATCACTTTTTATAAAAATTAGGCCATTGATTCATGAAGAAAAAGATGATTTGTAACGCCCTTTACTAAAAAATACTACTTCTAGAATTTTTTTTTAAATATCGAACTCATAGAAAATGTAAATTTCCTTGAACCTGGTCAATTTTTTAGTATTGCTTGATGAAGATTTAAATACTCATACTCAGTAGAAACACTAAGTGAATATATAACCTGAGCAATTAACTTTTGTTTCCTCTACTTGGTAACCAGAGAATTGTTCTTCCATCCATAAATAGCACTAAATTAATTCATTTTGTATTCCAAATGTTTGGATCACCCAGTGTTATTGAGGATTTTGAGCATTTGAGAGAGTAGTTAGTGTAGTTAGGGTGTAATGCACTCATTAGTGAGCTTTCAACTTTATTATCAAATTCCTGTAAGTCCAATTCAAGTTCTGATTTTGAATTCTATTATGGTTCTCTTCAATTCTTTCAACGCAATTTACTTCATTGGAAGCATTCATTTAAGGTTGTTTTACAATTTTCTATTCCAATTTAATTGTATTTTAAAATTCATACAGTCATTTGAGTTTGTCCTATTTTAAGTTTATTAATTGAGAAATTTGATAGCATCCTGACAACTCTCCCGCATATGGAGCATCTATAAGGGGTCTAAGCCTGCCCACCAAGTCAAAAAAAAAAAGGTGCATATGTGTGGTGTTCTAAACACCACGCCAGATATTAACTCACACCACACCAATAAAGACGCGTATACAAATGCATGTACCTACTTAAAAACTTGCATAGAGGATTTCCTTGTCACATCAATAAAAATACGTCCTAGTACTTATCTAGTGGCACAAATCTCCTACTCCCATCATGCCAAGAAAGACGTGTTTGGATTGTCTTCCCACCATACTTAAAAACATATATGGTTATTAATTTGCACAAGAAAATAAGGCAAGCATCATATGATTTTCCCTCGCATCGGAATGAAGTAAAATCATATGATGCAAATAGATTCATTAACGTCAAAGTGAATTTGATTTTGAATTATAAATCTGCATGCACTTATGGTGTTGACTGATAGGCTAATGCATGACAAGTTGAGATCAAATCCAAGGCCCCTTTTTTCCTCTCTTATTTCTTTTTCTTCTTTTTTATCTTTTTTGGGTTTCTCTCTACTTAGAATGAAAAAAGAAGAGAAAGAGAAAGAGAGAAAAAAGGGGGTGATAGAGAGGGATAGAGGAAGAGAATGAGAGAAAAAGAGGATGTCAAAGAGGGAGGGGGTGGGGTAGATATAGTAAGAGAAGAGAGAATGAAGAAAACTGAGAGAAATGTGAGGAAGAGAGAAAGAATGAGTGGGGTGGAGAGTTGAGAGGAGGAGAGAAATAAGAATAGAGAGAGTGATGGTGAAGAGAGAAATAAGAGAGAAAGAGAGGCCACGGTGAAATCAGTGTCAACTTGGTGTCAACGGAGGAAATTGCTGACAAGGTTAACGCCCAAAAAGATAGCTTTTGAAGAGGCAGCGCTTGGAAACAAAAGAATTTTCAGAATTGTGGCAGAAGATTTGTGAAGCATAACTAATGTTTGTATGACTACTTAATGGAGAAAAGAGCAAAAACACAAAAAAAAAATGATAAGAGAGTACATGAAAAATATTAGCATAAAATTTTATACAGTAAATTAGAATTATCATTATAGTCAATATTTTAAATAAAACTTTTATTGAAGTTTATTGAACAGGGAAAAAAATGATTGAAATTGAAGATGATGAGGGAAAATGAAAGGATTTTAATACAAATAAAGATGATGGAGATTAGGAATCAATAAAATAAGATAATTATAATGAAGACCCTCTAAGTGATGGAAGTGGGAGAAAGCTTCAAATTAACTAGATTTTTTTTTAACTTCTTATTATCTAATATTTGCATAACATTTTATAGTGTTATTTTGATAATTTTGGACCACTCTCAAATGCTTTATTGACATCGGAGCTGGCAGGCCCGCAAAATTGTAGAAACAAGGAATTCCATCAATGTAGGATTCCGAGTATCCCAAAATCAACAATACCGGGATCGTAGATGCAGAAAAGTGCTGCAAAAGCACGTCGATGGCGTTATATTTCAACATTTTTTTCATTTTTTTATTTATTTCATATTTCTTTATTTCCTAATTTCTTCTTTCTAATTAAGTTATTTCTATTAGAAAACTATTTATGAGTTATATTTTGCTGGTTTTTTGGAGACTTTGGTTTTCTTTATGATATGTGGAGAAGTTGTCTCCTGTTTTTCCCTATTGAAGTGTTGTATCTTTGGATTTTTTTGGATGGTGTGCTTGTAGCCTGTAGGATTAAAGTGTTGATGTCACGGTCTAGTCAGGGGCTTAGAATTAATTAATACGAGAACAGACAGTTAGATATTGTAATATTTCATTTAACTTTTCACAGATTAACATGACTTCTGATTTATAAAGGAGTTACTATGAAACTACAAGGTACACTGCACAGAAAATCAAATTATCCAAAGACAACAACATAGTCTGTCAGTAAACATTATTTCAAACCAACACAACAGTATATCACTACTCAAAAGTAAACAATACAATAATTACAACCATAATACACAATATAATACCTATCAACGGTAGTTCTCCTATGAATCATCTCTCGTCTGTCAGTCATATCAATCTAATATTTTTTTCTGAAAAAAACCATTAATTTTAAGAATAAATTACAACACTAAGTCAACAATTATAATTTTTTATGCATTAAATTAATATACAAATGTTATACATGAGTCTCAGGAAAGTATAATATATTAATAAATCAAATTACAAGCTTTTATTTTTAATTTGACAATTCTCATTTCAATTTAAGTATTTATCCTTTTTAATCTCTCTAAAAAATCATATATGGATTGTCGTCATTCCCAAAAGTATTCTCAAAATTGTATCTGCGGGTACCCTTAAAAGTTTATACCCGTAGATAACCGCAAAATTTTGCATTTGAAAGTACACATTTATTATTTCTATTTTTTTTTCCGTGTACGGGTACATCACATCTCTTGTTAGTACCATCTAGGGGTAATTCTAAATGTCTTAATGCTTTACAATGCATTTCCTCTAATTACCTCATTTTAAAGTCATTGAATAAACATTTTCCCTTTTTATTATTTCATTTCATCATTTCAATGATTCTTTTAACTTACAACATGCATATAATTATTAAAGTATCTGAAGTAATAATGTAAGTCTTAAATATCAATTTAATACATATAAGAAAGTAATTACTCACCTTAGCCTTTAAGTGACCTCTGTAAAAATTTATTCCTCCACTGCCTCTTAGTCTCACCTCTATCAATCAAATGTGCCAGTATAAGGATTTTAAACTCTCTTTTGATTCTAATCAAAGATTCTAAGTCAGGGAAAATTCAATATACTTTTAATGACATTAAATTAAATCAACTTACAAAACAAATGCATAACTCTTACCCCAACTTCACTATATCATTAATCTTTTACCAATCTCAATTTTGAATAGCCTTCTTAAATACTTCCTAATTAATAAAAATTTAATAACATTAATTTAACTAATTATATTATTTATTATAATAATAATAATAACATCAACAATTATCTAACGAGTTTCTCGGGTCAATCTCCTTACTCGCATGCTTTACTTTCTTGTGTGAAATCAATAATTTCTGACCCCAAAACTTACATTCCTTGATTTAAGATTTTTGAAATAAATTAATAAACTCGAACTTTAATACCTATAACGATAATTTAATCCATCAAACTTGATATTAAACTAATAATGCTTGAATTATTTTTTTTTCAAATCTTACCTTCTTTAGGCTTGGCTCGATTTAGCCCCTTACTCGCACAAATTTTTCCTGCACGTGAGTCTTTACCTCCTTTATTCTTCCTTTGCACTGGAGCTGCTTTAACCTGCAACTAGGGCTCAAGCTTCTCTTCATCTACTACTTTGCATGGTAACAACACATGAAGCAGCCTTCACTTCTTTTGTCGAGCGCTCGATCTGACTGCACTACCATATGCGCTCCTTCCTCCTTCGACTAGGGTTCAAGACGACAGTGACGTCGCACAAGAGACTTCTCCTCGAAAACTACGGTTCTTACTCTTCCCTCGGTTAGGGTTTCATCCTTCAAACACAAGAGTCGAAGCCTCCCACACATGTAAGTGGTGACTTCTTCCCTTCTTCCTCCTTATTCTTCCCTCTTCCTTCTCTACCAATCATCTAGAGCACGCACAAAACTTTTCCTTCTCACATTCTCCCACTCTGGATCTCTCTCTATCTCGATTCTTTCTCGATTCTAAAATGAGTTAGCCTCCTTAAGTAAAACTATCAACACGGTTATTCAATCCCATCAATTCAATTTTATTATTATTATTATTTGTATGTATTAAGAATTTAACATAATTTTTTATTGAAATAAAAGAAGATATAAATACATGTTACATGAATTCTAAAATAAAAATGAAATAACTCACATATCTCCAAAATTACAATTAATCAATTCCTAATAACAACATGATGATAAAATGACAGACATAAAATAGGACATACATAATATAAGAAATAAGCATAAAGGAAATAAATCAATACTAATAACTTCTAACATAAAATAAGAAATAATCGGAAAGGAAATAAATCAATCACTCCCCCTCAAATTAAAACATAGGTGTCAATCATGTTCAACTTGGATTTGAAATCATCATACAATGGGTGAGAAAGATATTTTGTGAGATAGAACTTGAATG